GATGGCTAGTGATTGTGAGCATTTCTTATACTTGTTAGCTGCCTAAATGTCCTCTTTGATAAGCTGTTTGTTCACATCCTCTGTCCAGTTTTAAATTGGGTTTTGTGTGTTTTTCTTCTTGAGGTGCTGAAGGCTTTCTGGATTTTAAAGATTACTGTTTTGTCTGATGTGTCATTGCCAATTTTTTTTCCCACCGTCTGTGGACTTTTTAAAAAACTTTTTTTGGTAAAAATCTTTTAATACATATGTTTCTTCACATTGAATTTATTCTTGAGACGGTCTCTGCAAAACAGACCATTAATGGCTCATGTGTAAGTTCAAGTTAAAGCTGAATAAGATGGAAACAAGCCTGTGAGGGCTAAAGTGCCGCCTGGACTAAGTATCTCCCCTCTGAAGTTAGACACACAAAACCCAATTTAAAAGCTGGGAGAAAATAATAAAGACCGGTAGCTGGAACATACGGCTGGATGATAGAAACTACGCTGGAGAATGCATGATAAAGTTTTGCAAGACCAAAGGCATCGTCTTTGTAAACACTTCTGTTTTCAATGCATGGCCTTACCTAGCGGAATAGGCTGATTAATGATATTTGCGCTTCTCCATTGTCTCTTTCCACAGATGAAGTCAATTTGATGCCAACTTTCACAATGTTTTTTATTAATTTCAGACTTCAGAAGTTGTTAAAGATCCTCCATTCATTCATCTTTGACATTGGTGATTGTTATGTGAATTTGAATGAGTCATAATAACCGGTTTTCCTTGTAGACTAGTACTCTGTCACTGTGCAGGCTGTCTCCCACCACCGACAGATTATGCTTCAGAATAGATCCCGAAGTGTTCTTTTTGACAATAAGTGAAATTTCCCCCTTTCAGTTTGCCATTCAGGCACAGCAGATCATACGACTGTTGGTTTATCTAAAATATCAGTACCATGACCCAAGAGGTGGGAAAGACATAATCCAGATCTGGTGGTCGGAATGATATCAGAGCTTACATTGTGGAATTCTGGTTTGCAGAAGGCTGTAGATGACAGTGGAGCCCAAAATACATTTACAGGATCTAAAGAGGGAATAAGCCTCCTGAGATTCCCCTCTGATCCTAAGTGAGGGAAGGAAATAACCTGGTGACCAGACAGAGAGTATTGGAGAGACAGTTATAGTACATTAAAATGGTTGTGTTAGTCTGGGTACTTTAGAGAAACAAATCCACAGAAACTCATGTATAAGAGAGAGTTTTATATAAAGGTTAAGTGAGCAT